AATCCCATTGAAAATAATCTACAAGAAACGATTTCAAATCGCGAAGGTGCGAAAACGAACATGTGATATAACGATATAAGGTCTCAAAAGTGATTCTGATTCTACCGCTCATCAGTCAAGGCCGTCTCAACATAACGAAACAATATCGTCTTCCACAGCGCGAGTTGGCATCGGAACGTAAGAGAAAGTCCTTGCGTGTATCGCTATATCGTTATATCGTCTTCTTCACTCGACGGCTTAAATCAGATTTATGATGCATCGCTTGGAATGAAAGTTGCTGTATCGGTTTGCCGATATAGGCGTTAAATCGATATGTCGCGATATATCGATTTATAGCCCAGTCCTAACCCTGAATATAGTTTAAGTTTATATATGTATGTGAATAAAAAAAGAACATACTTGATCATCAATTCCCACACTGATGTTTATTAAGTTTCCATACATTTTAGTCCATCCCGTACCAGTTGCAGCTTGAGGGTTTTCACCAGAATGAAGGCCGTCTATACCTTTCCGAAACCAAACCTGTAAAATAGTAATAAATAAATAAGAGAAAAAGAATTAACTTTTATCATTGTATAAGAGAGTTCAGTTAAATAGCTATTTTGCCAGTACAAGAATAAAGAAACCTCAATGATATTTGAAAGTGCTAATTTTCAATTGTATTGTTAATAACTATTAAAAATCATTTTTAATTTAAATCTTTCCATGTATATAATAGCCATATAGGTATTGATAATGCCATTATGGAATGAAGCTGGGTACGGCTTTATTTACTTCCATCTCACAAAAATAAAAGTTTAAAAAGAATATTCAATTACAAAATTATGGATTATACATAAATCCCTTTATCATTTTTCTTATTTTTTTTTCTATTGTTTTAAATTTTTCTTTAAACTTCAACCCTCATTGCTGTTGTTAATTTACGTCCCACTAGAGCTGCACAATGGCCTATTGGCGACGGTCTGGGAAACATCCCTGAGGATGTTTCGAAGACATGCCGTCATAATTTTGATCCTCTGCAGAGGGGGCTGCAGCCCCGATTCGGTAGCCCGACGACCTGCACGCAATGTCTAGCACTTTACGGTAGAACAGTTTAACGAGGACCAATACCGCACACCCTCGGTCCCTACGCAGACTGATCCAAGTGGTCACCCACCAGCACACTGACAGCAGCCAGTGATGCTTGACTTCGGTGATCTGTTGGGAACCGTGTTTTAACGATCAATCCACTGCGGGACTTACCCTCATTGAAAAACAAAAGCTTTAAATTATTGCAAAATATTTTGTTTGCAAAATAAAAGGAATATTTGCTTTTATGTAATCGAAGTTTTCGTTCCTATTCAGGTAATAAATTTCTAAAAAAAAAAAGTATATGAATGTTTACAAATATATTTCCATTCAGAATTCAGAATTATTAATTTAAGTCAACAAACCCTATTGAATAAAACATTCTGCACAAGTGCAAATTTCTTTTTTAGATCAGTTTTTTTTATTTTCAAAATACATTATAAAAATGACAATTTGCTCAATGGTATAAAAAGAAAATTAAGGTTATAAACCATCATATTTTACCGCATTGGTTTTGCTCAATGCCCACACAACATTTTTTCCAACACTGACTTGAACCAAAGGATCAGCTTCATCAGGAGGATCAACAATAACCCAATCATTACCTGAAATTAAATTTTAAAAGCATAAACAAAAAAACAGAATTTATATCACTTAAATAATAAATAAAATTTTGTACTGGTTTCCACAGTATTAAAAATACTTACCCATAATATTTTCTCTAGAAACGCCAGTGCGTACTACTGCATGCCCATTATATGATACTGCCCATGTCAGACCTGTTGGTCCAACAGATACTTGACTTAATTCACTCTGCTCAGGTGTTTTGATAGGAACCCAACCATTGCCTTCAGGAGAAGTTTCAGTGACACCGTAACGGAACAATATCTATATGAAAATTTTATAGAAATGGATATTTTAATTCTTAAAAATACTCATTTTCGCAAATTAAAACCAATAAAGTTAACATATTTGAGTGAAAAAGTTGAAAATATCAGTAAGCATAGAACAAACAAGAATATCACAATGCAGTGTTAGGTGACAATTCTTAATTACTCAGCAATTCAAGTCAAACAGCAATATTTTTATTGATGTGATTTAACATTATTTTACTAACATTATTTCTATTGATTGACTTCACTCTAAAATTCATTGATATTTAATACAGAATATTAACTCAATTATAAATCCTTATTTATTTAGTTTATTATAGTTTGAATTGTAAAAAATCAAAACAAAATAATTACATTTTAAAAAGAAAAAAACTGCAAGAAAAAGCTTTCGATAAAAAAACAACATGAAAAATCTTGATAAAGAGGCACAAACGCTTTAAACAATTTATAAAACAAATCACAATTTATGATTCTGATGGAAAAAAAAAGATTTGATTTCCAATGCTAATTTTTTTTTCTTACAAATAATTTTTTCAGTGTAACTACAAAAATTTTCGTTACTTAAATTGCAGATATTTGGTTTGTTCTTGTAATTAAACGTCAAGGAATAAATAAATTAAAATGGCAATTTTACAAGAATCTTTATAAAAAAAAAAGATTTATGTAGAATAAACAATGTCTACATATTAAGGGTTTGGAGCAGTCTAATGATAAACCGCCCTCTTTCTAAAAGTGATATTTTTCTATCAAATTGTTTTTTAGATGCATCAGTTTCCAGATATATACTTTACAAGTTCTGAGAATTTTCACTAGGTCACAACAAATTATACAGAAATATTTCATTACCTGGATAGAAATAAAGTGAAACTAATATATACTAATAATGAAGTTTAATGTCAAAAATTAATTTTAGAATAATTGTAATGATATAGAAATAATTAAATAATCCATAATAACTATTTATATTGATATTTATTTAAACTTTAATTTTTTTTTTCAAAACAAAACAATATGTGAAAAAGTTTGATATATATAATACACAATTTTAGATGTAGCTACAGATAAGGTAATATATTTTTCCAACTTACTTAGATAATTAAATTAGTCACATAATACTGAATAGACACTTTTAGTAAGAATAGTCTGATAGTAAGAATAGTCTGAATAGTCACTTCCTCTGTAAGTTTCAATTATTAGGTTTACACCCCCTAATACTTCCCCATCACTTGTTAGGAAACGTGGTAATAGTTCCCTAAAGATATACCTCTCGCGATGCACAGAGAAAAAAGAAAGCAGAGAAATATACCTCTGTAAGGCACTAGATCCTACGAGTAGTTGTTATATTTCGAATCAATTATCTGCCGTGTCAAAAAATTTTTTGATTTATATAAACACGTTAATGACTAAATATCTGTCCCTTTCTTTAAAGAAAAAAAAAGAAAAGAAAAAAAAAAAAGAATCTGTGTTAAATACTTTCATATTGATCAGAAGAAGCAAAGAATTTTCAGTGGGGAAGAGGAATTGAAGAAATTTAATACATCATTTCAGCTCATCGGGTCTCAGAACTTGTATCATTCAGATGAAAAGATGAAGAGATGAAAAAGAGAAGAAAAGAAGAAAAATGCAGCTCTCCAAACTGTTCACATGAGCAGTATAATTTTCTCTCCTCTCTCAGCAGAGATAAGGCAAGGTGACAGGAGAAATAATGATTCTTTAGTATTGAAATCACTTAACAATATTTTTAGTTATGCACAAGGCACAAAACTTGCACACTTTGATAATGGTGGAAAGTTCAATATCTTTCCCCCCTTAAAATTGAAAGCAGAAAGAGTTTTTCTCCTTTTTTTTCAAATTTAGAAACACTAAGCCCAGTTATATGAGTGACTGCTTTGCAGAGAGGGTACATAATGTTGTTATAGAAGATTTACAGCAAATTAAAATTAGTATGTCTGTAATGAGAGACATTTGTTTTGCAGGCATGTCCATAACATGAAGTTTGATTGTAATACCATTTCCCCCCCAAAACCGTCCTCAGAATAATTGAAAAATATGGCTTTTTGATCATATTACTCCAAGCCTTTTATTATACAAATTTTAACCTTTTCTTAATATTACAAGAATGACTTTAAAAAAAATGAAGTATCGTATGACAAATTTGCTTACCCTCCCTTGAATTGTAATAGCCCAAACTGCAAAACAATTTGTTTCTCCTCCTGGGACATCTGTTCCTCCTACTGCTATGTCAATAAAAGGTTCCATTATAGGATCTTCATGAATGCTTGGAATCTTTAAAAAAGATGATTCAAATTGATTATTTTTTAACTTTAAAATATTATTTATAGAAAAACAGTTTAATAATTTCAAATGACTACTGAAAAAGTAACATTTAAAAAATGTTAAGATTAAACTAAGAGCATAAGTCAGGGCAGAGTCTTGTCCAACAAAGGCTATTGACAAAGCTTCAGAACTGTTTTTCTAACAAATATAAATCATCAATATTTTTTCTTTTTAAATGATAAAAAAAATTCTGGCAATTAGGTATGTGTTAAATAATTAAAATTATTCACCAAAATTATTAACACTCTGCATGTTAGACCACCCTTTTATGTGGCTGTTTTCAAGAACAACTGCCTTATTTCTATCTTATTTAATGAGAAGGTAGTGTGTAGATTAAAATTTTTTGAACAAACTCTATGAAATACTTAATAATTAGTGATTAAATTAATACCAATGGCAAAACATGAAAGTAAAATATTCCTGCAACAGCTCATTTTGAACCAGGGGGATCATGGAGGTTAACAACAATTGATCTGGGATTTACTCCAGAATTTGTGACCATTCCCCTTGGTCATTGCGGTTCTCCATGGCAAAGCATAAGTTTTATAAAAGAAGACACTACAATAATGCTATCAATGTTGGAATGTGAAAATCTAAAAAATCATGCACATTTTTCATCAATTTTATTCAACTTATACTATTTATTATTCACAACAAATTTAGCTTGAACATCGCATTTATGTTTAATTTTTATTACTTATTTGTAATTCAATAAATCCTTTTTCACCATCATTTTTTTTTTCAAAATAAGGTGAATTGTTAGTTTAAGACTTATTTTACTTTAATTAGTGAATGATTAAATTTAGAATGATACTTAAAATAACAATTTAGGAAAATTTTAAGAAATGAATATTTTTAAGCACATTAAATCTTTATTAAACTATTTTAAGATGAAACAATAACCTTTTAAGATTAAAATTTTAATTAACATTTGATTTAGCAGAATCAAAATTGATTCAGTAAGTTCATGCTTTCTCTGCCTCTTGAAATTGTTGATTAAGAACAATAAATCTACATTAATAAATGCCAAAAAATACCTTACCGTAACTTTTACAAGTTCATTCAAAAAAATTACAAAAATTAGATGAAGAAAAAGTACTTGAAACTTATCAACTGCATATTTTTATGCTTTACCTGCCCAAATTTTTTGTTTATAAGTATAGCCAAAATTTGAGAAAATGAAAAAACTTGTTAAAAAAATTTAAAAATTATTTCATTACTTTAGTAAGATTTATTTTTTGTTACTCATAATATCTTTAAAGACAGGGATTTTGTTTTAACCACCTTTTATTTTATTTGGTTACCTTTTATTTTAATTTAAAATAAAACAATTGAATAAAATTGTTATTACTTGATTTTAAAACTGTAATTAATAATTACAGCTGCATATTTCACTGCTAAAACATAATATACCTTAAAAAGAAAACAGTTTTAAGAGATTGGTTTTGAAGAAATTTAAATTATGGCTTTCAATGAATAATTGTTTTCTTCCTTTAAATATCTATTTTTTTCCCCTCTAGTACATAGATATGGTTTTTGAGTAATACTTTTAAGAAAGTGGAGATTAACATAATTAGGCACCCTTGGTCTTGTCTTTATAAACTGTTATAAGTTCTGCTTTAGCACTCAGTGAAGTTGAAATTTCTGATCCACATACAAAATTTGGAAGAAAAAATAAATAAAATTTGGAGCATGAAAGAGTAAACTAGACAGGAAAAAAAAAACATAATTTCATTCTATCGAAATATAAACTTCAAAAATTTGATTTAAAAAAAAAGATTAGAGATTTTTTTAAAAATGTTTTATAAAAGGGCTTTAATAATGTAATGAATGTTTCCATTTTGCTCATTTTAATTTAAAAATCATTCAATTTTAAAATAAACAAAAAATGCTAATGCGTTGATCACTGAACTTTTGAGCAATTTCAAATTTCTGTATATAGTTTACGAGATTCATGACTGTGAAAATTAAAAAAAGGAGTGCATTGTATATTTGAATGCTATAATTATTAAGGCTATCAGAATGCTGTAATTTGTAAGGTATTAAGGTGAATTAATTGCTAGCAGTAAGGTATTAAGGTGAAGAATGACCATCATAAGCAATAAATAATGGCAGATGAGTGAATAGATTGCTCATAAAATTGGTTTAAAATAATGCTAGTAAAAAATATTAAAAGATTTTTCAAGCTACTCGAAATATTTAATCTACTCATTTTCTTAAAATTTAATTTATTCATATTCAAATTTTTTTTAGTTAATGCAAAATATGATTTCCTGACGCCTGGTGGCTGAGCGGTAGCGCTTCGCGCTGTCGTGCCACAGGCCCCTGGTTCGATCCTCGGGCCAGGCAAGGTTGACTCAGCCTTTCATCCCTTCAGTGGGTCGATAAATGAGTACCAAGCATGCTTGGGAATTAAACACTGGGGGTTCCGCGTTCGGCTGACCACCTGATCGGAACATCTGCTCCTGCATCCCAGAGTCCAAGGTCAAGAAAACTGAAATGGGCACAGTAGGCCTTGGCCCTCAAGGGCTGTCGCGCCGCTGAGTTTAGTTTAATTAAAATATGATTTCCAACTTCCATGAATATGAAATTCATTAAATAATTTCTTATAATCCAAAATGAGTAAAAATATAAAAAGTAAGAAAAAAATTTGATAAACAAGAAATATTGAAGAATTCAATCATCTTTTAAAAAAACTTAAAAGTTAGCAGTTGTGGCAAAAATATAATAAAATAAACAAATAAAACATTTCAAAGTTTTAAGAAGGAATTAGCGTTAAAAAGATGAATACTTTCTTAAAAAAGAAAAATTGTTAGCAGTAATTAAATGCTGTATAAAGTCTCACTAATTTAATGTGAAAATTTAAATTATATTTGAAATAAAAATGAAATTATTTAAATAATATTAATTTGAAATTATATTTATACAGAGATTCCAACTTTCTCTGGACAGTGGATAAATATTTTTGATTGGTAATCTTTTAATGCATAATTCTTGATTAAATGAATTCGATTTGTAGGGTTTTCACTCACCACTACTTCGAAATATTTCAAAGGTTTATGTGATATGCCACTTTATTACACTTAAGACATGTTGAGCCTCCTAAAAAGTTGTCAACATTAACTGAAACTCTGGAAAATTTAGATTGTAGTTTTCTACCGTGTTTAAAATTTGAATTCGGAATAGTTGGCCTCTCTGTTCATAATCAAAATCCATACAGAGAATGTAAAGGACAATTAATACTTAAAATACATATTCAGAATTAGTTGACATATTTTAGCAAAATAGATATGTTAATTCAAATAGAAACTCAGATTCAAAGAAACTTGGTTAAAATTTTAGCAAGAAAAATTCATAAAATTCAATTACCAATGACCATTTGTTAGTAGCACAAAATCGACGATAACGAATCCACTTACGTCTTCGCACTAGAGAATTCCATGTTTTGTTGGGTCCATATTTGGTAGGAAAATCAGTAGCATACATCCAACCCTTTGAACAAAAAAAAAAGAGCTTTTTCTTCTTTTCTATCAACTATCACTTTATGTCTTTTATCACTTATATCTTTTTTTATCTATTCCGGTGATTTATTAATTCTTTTGAAGAAAAACAACAAACAATTATAAAATCAAATTTAGTAAAAAATAAACTACTTAAATCAGTGTTTTAAAAATTGAAATTGCACTTTTTATCTTAATGCTGCACCGAAATTGGTATGGAAAATTGACATTAATTCAGTTTAAAAAAAAAGAAAAAGAAAGAATTGCTATATTACATAAAATAATATTAACCTTCAATAATTAAGCTGTTTAGCATTTATAATTTATATAATACATTGCATTTAGACACAGCTAACATTATACAGCAACTTCGCAATATAACACAGCTGTGCAATATTTGGGATGATAAATGGGTCATTTTAAAACACTAGTATTTTTGATACCCTGAGACTTTAAATAATTTTAATTACCGAAATAAAATTCCAAAAAATATTTGTAAGCATTTAATATGTATGCTTTTAACTGTATGTTTTTAGTTAATGTATATACAGTGAAACCTCCAAGAAAGACCACCTCAATTTACAGATTACGATAAGTCTATAAATTAATTATATATATAGTATTTATATATATATATATAAAATCACTTTTGGGAGGCACAGAATTTTTTCCATATACTTTATGTTCATGAAAGCTTTTAGGAGAGACTGTTAAAACCACTCCCAGAGACCAGGCAAACATCTACACCAAATGTGGAAAATAAGGAAACACGAAAAAATATCAAAACAAAAAATTTCACAAAACAAATAAGTAGATTAAAATGCATTCAAAATATTTGTCTGAGGCTCTTATTTAGAGAGCTCTTTTTGACGACATAACCTCATGACAGAGTGCACTAAAGATGATGTTATCAATTATTTACTTTTAGAGTTGAAAACTGAGTTAGAAAGAAAAAGTTATTTTAGAAAAAACAAGCTTCTCAAATAAGCCAACCTCATCTCATCTTTTAAAGCTAACTAATTTTTATGATATAAAACTAAATGCAAACTTAAACAAAAAACATAATTTTTTTTATTTATTTAAAATAGTTTTATCATTTATAATTGGTAAATTTGCTTTAATGCATAACATTATAAGTTGGGATAATTTTTATAGACGCCCAATTTTATTCATAGATCTGTTTTTTCAAGACGCCAACAGAAGCCGTGTTTCACGCCAAGAAAATGACACAGACTAGACCTCAATCAACGACCATTTTACTATAGAACGGAGAGTGGTCACTCCTGAGAGGTTTCACCATACATAGAAATTAGTATTTTAAAAATAATGTCACTCTAATATCTTTTTAATATGGTAGATACAACTAAATTGCTATGTTCCAGCCTTGTTTGCCTTTAATTTAACTGCAATTAAAACTCATTTTAATTTATCTAGTTATGAAAATTGTGTAATTGATACTGCATGTTAGTAAAGTGCTGGTGCCAATGCTAAAACCGTGATGTTAATTGTTTCAAGTAACTCATTTATTTAAATTTTTCTGAAGATTGGTATCAGAGGGGAACATAATGCAGATTCAGGTTAATGTTTTATTTTTTGTTCTATAACAAAATGTGCACTGGTTTTTTAGTTTTATGTACAAGAAACTTTCAGTAGTAGTAATTTGAATATTGAATTTTTTAAGAAAAATTTTTCTGAATGGCTCTCTATTTGAAAATGATCTCTTTTTTCTGCATAATAAATTTTGTTTATCGTCTGAAGAAGTTACAGTTTGAGAAATTTTTATTCATAAATGAATTAAAATTATTTAAAAGCTTAGTTACTATTAACTGGTCTAGTTACAATTTGATACAGAAAAAGATAAATAAACAACTTTATTTTTCAATATTAAAAATAACAATTTAATAAGGATGTAAAACAAATGATGCATAATTAAAACTATAAATGACACAAACATAAAAAAAAGAAGAAAAAGAGAAGACAAATGACGGAAAACTAGAGTAATCTAGGGTTGTGGGAACTAACTTTATCTAAAGAAGGAATATCCCTTGAGGAATATCTAGTCAAGGCAATAAAAATCTTTTTAAGCATAGAGAGAAAAAAAATAAATCATATAAAAGAATAAAAGCAAAATGGAATAAAGAATAAAACAGAACTAGACACTATGTCTGATACACAAATAGTGAACTCTAGAGAGATAATTAGTCATGGCACTAAAACTTCATAAAGCAGTGATAAAAAAAATATTTATACAAAAGAATAAAAGAGAAATAGAATTGAAGTAAATCAAAACAATGCTAACAACTCGTTTCAAATTAAAAATAAACATTGAAATAAACAAAAAGAAACTTACAGTTATATTTCTTAGCCTATTCTATTCCATAAAAACTAATACATAGAATACACTTCATGAAATTTAATAAATATTATATACCTCAGGCTCTAAAGGTTGGCCATCAAGATTATCTTCAATGTACCAGTCTTCTTCCCAGTCCCAGCTTTTTGAAGGCAGATGGAAACCTTCTTGTGGTAATGAAACTAACCCATCTGCACTACTCCAATGTGGTCGATCAGTGGGCAAAAGTTTTGTACTAAAACCATTTAGTGGATTCCATCTCTATAAGGAAAGTAGAATAACAAAGTCTTATCTAGAGTAGAGGGCTTTAGCCTACAGCCTATGGACTGAACTACATAGTTCTGTAATTTATAAAATACAGAAATGTCTAAGGCACAAAGTGTATTATCTTTTGATGTCTTTGATAACTATTAATAAATGTTGTCCTGAAGGTAAATACGAGAGCATGATAGATACATGGTCAACAAAAGCAAAGTATTATAAAGTGAAAGTCAGAATTTCTAAAAATAACATTTATTTTGTAAGAGAAAAGATAATTTAGCCAGAGGTCGTGAATGCAATGCTTTATAAAAATAAAGAATTAAAATTGCTAAAATTAAACTTTTATTGTTTTTTGCTTTTCTGTATTGATATCAGTAAATAGAAATGCTTTTCATTTAAGCCTTTTCCTACATTATTGATTACTTAAGCATCATAAATGTATTTCCCTAAAATAATTTTGTTGGAATAGCAGAGGGTAAATAATTTTTAACTCAATATAAACATACAATTTTAGTAGGTATCTTTAATTTCCACATTTTGACGATGACTTGGAAATTTGTCATTAAAGTTTACTTCTCATTACATCAAGCCTGTACTATATTTATATACTATGTGTAAATTTACTTGCTTGATTCAAATTAAAATGGATTAACACAAGCATTATTGTTAAATTTTAAAGTCTTTTATATTCCAATTTTTAATTTTTTTTTATTTAATTAAAACACTAAAATAAATTTAATAAAATGTCCTTTAAATGCCTAAGTTGTGCAGAACCATCCATTATATTTCAGCTAATTTAAAAAAATGAAAACAGAATTGCCAAAAAGTTTTAAAAAAATTCTTATTTGTACATTTAAAGAAGCAACATTACCATTTACCTATAAAAAACATTGTAAGAGTTTACCTTTAAATAGATCCTGGGGTTAATTTTTGATAGAATTATATATAGTATATAAATATGTATCGACACAAAATCAAATGAATGTTTTCACATACAATGGAGAAATTTTTTTATACTTTTATGTCTCAGAAGAATTCAAGATGAATCTGCTGATCTGACAGTTTCCCTCATTAATTTTGCATTTGGTTATGATAGTTGTTGCATGCTATTATGAAAGAATGCTATTGCTATTTTGAAAGAATTCAAAATAGCATGAGATATTTCAAAGTTGCATGCTATTTTGTAAGAATAAATCAAAAAATTAATTACATATTTAAAAAAATTGTCATTAAAGTTTGCAAATTTTAGACTCTGTCACATCATACAATTTTTGCAGCTACCTTGGAGAGTCATTGGTTACCCTAATTCAACTTGATAGAGGTTCAGATTAAAAAATAAAAAATATAGCACATTGCTACAGAATATGACACCTTTTTAAACAGAATTCGGTTTAAATTAAAAAAAAAAAAAATTTAGAACAAGAGCTCCAATTACAAAAATTAAAAGAACCTGTACTATGATATATCTGCATTGTGAACTGTCAGAACAACAATTCCCAAGGCATCAAATAGATTTTAAACTTGCAGTTAAAAAAAAAACATGTAGAGGTTTAGTCAGGGGTAGCTACGAATTACATCTCTTGAGTTGGTTCCCTTCTGTGATTTTGTTTATTTTCTCGTGGACGGCTGCCTAGAAGGTGTCAAAACTTGGGGATTATTCTGCCGCAAATTACAAGACAGAAATCTTCCCATCTGAACAAATACTAAAAAGTATGATTAAAAATTGTCAGTAAAACAGCTTGGGGTTATTTCCGTATCGTGATCTGCCGCACCAACTAGAATCGCCAAGATGTCAAATAGTCATAGATGTCAAGTAACTCGCAAATTTAAAAAAAAAAGAAACATGTAGATGTTTGCTTGAGGATTGCTATGAGTTACAATTTTTGAATTTGCTCCTTTCTGTGATGTTTGTTTTAGTTTCTCGTGGACCACTGCCCGGAAGTTTCCAAGACTTGGCGATTATTCTGCCACAGATCACAACACGGAAATCTCTTCAACAGCTTAACGAGCAGTTAACCAAGAGCAAACGTTTCTTAAAATTTGGTATGAAAAGCGCCAAAGTATCATATATATAACAAGGCTCCCACGATCAAGAAATTTATCTTAAAGGGGCAGCAAAAGTGTCAAAGTTCAATCTTAAAAACTGGCAATAAAATTTATAATATAAAGGAAATAAAGGAATGCAACATAGTAATTCTCAAATAAAAGCTAAATTTAATAATTTTCCAGTAGTCTTGAAAAAAACCTTACCTACCTCTCATTTATTTTTTCCAGATCGTGGAAACCCTATATTAATATTCATCAGAAACTCAAAAAATACTATACCTCATTTTCATAAGTAACTACTCGGCATCGTATTGGAATATCTCTGGTTGGCACAAAAATGTAGACCTGGTGATCGCCACCGATTGCCCAGGTAAAAAATTCATGGGCTGATATCCTCTTTATTTCCAATCCACTCACTTCAACCCATGCGTCTTCAGCAGTTGAAAGAGTATAAACTTTTCCTAAACTATTCACAGCCCACAAATAAGACATTCTAGTTCGATGACCTACGTTTTTATTTAATAGAAAGGAATCATTACACTGTGATTAGCATTAAATTTTTAAATACTAAAATCGGAATTTAATTAATGTTATAAAAAAAATTTAACACTAAGAGTCTTATGGAAAAAAGAAGAAATAAGAATATTTTAGAACAAAAACTAGAATATAAAAAGAAACAAAAATAACATTAAAATGATATGATTACCCTACATCACCTATCAACCAGAAGCAGACACCTTTAAAAATCAAAACAAACAGAAATATTACAATTACAGTTAAATTTTGTTTTGGAACTTTAATTGCTATTACTTAATAAAGTTAGTAAATAGATACTGCTTTGTAAGGAAGGGGTTAGGCATGATTTAATTTTTATCGTTCAGCAAAATATATTAATTCTTTCATTTTACTAAAAAATATTAATTCGCGATCACAANATAAAGTTAGTAAATAGATACTGCTTTGTAAGGAAGGGGTTAGGCATGATTTAATTTTTATCGTTCAGCAAAATATATTAATTCTTTCATTTTACTAAAAAATATTAATTGAATTTTTTTTTTTTAAATCAGGTTAACATAAGCTTTTTTAGAAACACAAAACTGAACAACATTTTCAAGTGAAATGTACAGATTTAGTTCGTTTTGTAGCATAATTAACCAGTAAAAATACTTAACTGGTAACACTGTAAAAGTATTTAGCGTTGATTCAGTTCAATCTAAAGTAATTCCAGGTGTATTTCAGACCGGCAATATTTCAGGGCTGCAGGTTTTGATTTTCAATTGTTTATGTTTGCTTTTAAAGTTTTGTGATATTTGCACAAAAGCCCCTACAAAATGCCTTTGTATTACTATTAAAATAAACAACCAAAAACTAGATAAATGTAAAACGATCGTTTTTTGATTCATTGGGAACAAAATGTTCATAATAACGGCTTAATTTTCTATTATTTTTTTATTTCAACTTGACTTCCATATATTTATAATTTCACTTACCATTTTAAAACTAACTGTACCTGGAAATGAATCCAATCGACTGTGGATCTCAAGAATTTGGAAGGTGCTAATAATAAATTATTTATGCATCTATGCATGCATTTTAACAATGATATCTTGTTAATTTTATTATTTTTAACTCTTTATTATTTCACCAACCTGTGCCAAACATCTCCTATAGTATGGTATTTTTTCCCCTCTATTTCTTACCTTTTACAGGAAACAAAATCTATTTATTCCTATTTATTTATGTAGTTATTTTAAATAAATTTATAAACATTTGTGCTTAAGTTCGTAGTATTTTAGAAAGTATTGCCTTTTAAAAATTGATAGTTTAAATTGGGAACTTAACGTATCCGTAATAAATGAAAACCGTAAATTTAAGAAAATGTCTAGGTAAAAAGATTTTCTCAGAGGTGTGAAAAATAATTGTAAATGCAGTTAAAGGTGCCCCTCTTATTTTGACAATTTTTTGTGTTCTAGCAAATAAACACAAGAAAACTGAATTAGAAATGAGAATTTCTAAAATTAAAAAATCGCCATAAAAAGAAAGGAAAACGGAAGATTTAAGTTACATTATTGAATCCAAGGGGCACGCTTTCTATTTTGCATTCTAATCCTGAATTCATTATTAGCTATTCCTATAGCTTTTTTTGTTTTGTTTTAAGGAAAATCAAATTTTTCTTAAATTAGAAGTTGTCTTTTTTTTTAAAATCAGTTTATTTAAGAAGATATACATCTAACGGTTAATAGCACCTACTAATTCTTTTGAATAAAAATTTGTTATTAACCTAATAAAAATTATTATTTATACTTGTTAGTTTTGAATAATACTTGTTAATCTTTTTAAATAAAATGTTTAATCAACAAAATTTTTTTTTAGGCTTCTACGCATTTTTTTCCACTGTAGGTAAAATTTGTTAATGTTCCAATAAACTAAATCATTTATTATTGTAATTTTAATTTTTAATCTTTATTATTATTTTTTTTATTTCATAAAACATTTTATTTTGTATTCATGTTTTTAGCAATAGCAAAATGTACAAGTAGAACTTAAGTATTATTATTATTTTTTAAAAAAAAAAACTTCGTGAGATAATTAAAACATTTGAGAATTTTATTATTTATTGATAACAACTTTATGGTGTTGGCAATTAAGTAAGCTAGGCATTTTATCTAATTTTTTTATAAAAATTATCTCTCAGAATATATCTATGTTTTTAATCCTCTTCATTAATTAAAAGTCTATGTATATGTTCATGTAATGTTTTATTACAAATTATACTTTGTTTAATTTTTTACAGGTTAGTTCATTTTGATCTGAAAGGTGCTCCACCAGTCATATCATATTATGAACAGGTATGAATTCAATATAATGTGAAATATTTCTTCTGAAAGATCTAAAATATTTCTAAATTTTGCCCTATTATATATGGTACCTAAAATGTTATGATGTATTTAGTTGTTAATCAGTTAAATAAAGAACTTACTTTTTAAATGAAAATGTTTTTGAATTTATCATTTATGTTATAAATATTATGGTATGATATAAGTGTCAAATATAAATATCATTATATGATATATCATATATGATTATCATATATGATAATCATATTCATTATATGAATATGATTAAATTTTCAATCTCCAATTCTTAAATATGATATCCTTTGCATTGTTGCTTTGGAGACAATAAATAATAAATACTGAGCCTGAATGGCTCAGATTCTATACTGCTGGCTCATTTTCTAATGACCAATCTAACAAGGGTGCAAGAATTTTTATGACCTGTTTACCTTTTACTCTCCTAGTGAGTCGTCTGCAACTGAGTGTGGCACCACTGCACCGACTCGAGTTCGTCCCATTCGGCCTCCTCTGCTCATCGAAGATTGTGTTGCTCTATGTCGTGTGTGACTCGGGGGCCATGGATCCTCGTGTCCATGCACCGCTGGGTCCTCCGACTGATTCGAAGATTGCACCAAAGATGGTCTCCAGTAATTCCTGGGTGCCCTCTACGAGGGCGGGCAGGGTCAAGTCTTGCTTACCTTTAACTCTCTTATTGGAAGTTATCCAACAGCCTTTGAGGAATAGATCTGTGCCAAGCTCTTAGCCCTGTAACAATTATTCTCTGTGATTAGTTTCAAGGTTGTCATCCTCTCAGATTTCAGAGCTGCTATCTAATGCAATGATTTGACTCGTGGCCTCACCTTCTGGGTCATCTTGAACTGACAGCTATCCATGAAAAAGTTGGAATGAAATTATACGACTATTGTTTTTCAATGGATCTCTGGCCACTGTGGACTGCTGAGAGGCTGACTTGCTGGAAGGGAAAAGTGCTGGTATTTTACAAGCACATAGTAATGTCCCTTTAGTACAATTGAGCATCTTTCATGGTGGCTCAGGGGGTAGAGCACTCGCCTCCCAATGAGGTGACCTGGGTTCGCATCCCAGTATTGGCTGGAATTTGAATTCCATACCCGTCTTGCACTGACAACAGTACTGACGCACAACATCCTTAGTGGTAGACGAATCATGGGTTACAGTCCCTTTTACCGTCAGGCTAACTGGGGGGGTTTTCATGATTTTTTTCCCTCCTATTTTGATAATGAGTGAGAATTATTTTTTGAAGTGAACACATAAAATTTTATTAGACAGTTATTTGAAAATTGTAGTGGATCAAATTCAGTTATTACAAATGTATTATTACACATTTTGATAAATTTTATTAGTGTTAAGGGAGTGCCTTTCAAAACTCAAAATACCCTTTTCTGTGAGAAAGCGCCCTGTCCTTTAATCAGAAGGTATCATTTCAGAACATTTGCTTCATTAAGAGTTAATAGAGAATAAATTTAATTGCCACTTTACCATTGAGTAATATTGAAGGGAAAAAAAACATGTCCATTTTGCAGGAAAACAACTTAGATAAAATAGAGAACTCTAGGTTGAAGATTTATAAAGTTAAATTGATAGGTAACAGTATAAAACTTTTTCAAAATTAATTATTTAAATTTGGTGTATTAAGTTATTTAAATTTGGTAATGTTTGCTGAAATAAATTTGACTAAAAACTTCTTCTCATATCGATAGATATTTTCTATACTGAAAAAACTGGGAGCTACTGGAATTCTTATGGAATATGAAGACATGTTTCCATATGAAGGTGATCTTCAAATTGTTTGCCAGCCAGATGTTTATAGGTAAGTTTGATTTATTTATTATTTTGTTAAACACAAATCAAAGCTTTTGAAATTGAGTTTCTAAATTCTTCTGTTTTGCTTTCTCATAATGTTTTAGCTATAACAAAGTCACCAGAATAAAACACCCCTTTGGTACTACAACAAAATTTGTGTCACTAAAATTTCGTGATTCAACTGATTTTAGAATTTTTACAAGCATTTTTGCTTTAAAAAAATTTTGTTGATAAAAAAAATTCCAGAACATAATTTTTATTTAAATTATTAAAAGTATGACGTAGCAGAAGTAGCAATAGCTAAGCAATATTTTTAATTCATAATTCTTTCTTGCTAGACATTTTCTTCAAGAGTTTTAATTCTTTGATCAACTGTTTAACAAAGATGCGAGACAAGTGATTTTTATTCTAATTTCTATTCATTGTTTTTTTTATCCTGTGAAATTCTTACTAAATATATATCTCACTAAATATCAATAGATAATTAGTGTAATAATGTGTTAAAAGACTAAATCAATTACCATTTTTCTTTTATTGAAATAAAAATAGTTTTATTGCATCATTATCCTTTTTTTAATGAATTAGATATTTTTTGTTTCTTGATACATTCAATGTTAATTTAGAAAGAAAATTGTATTGTAACACTGTAAACAAAAGGTATAAAATCAGCAAATTTTCTGATTCCAAGTTATGTTGATTTCAGAGATTTATTATAATTCATAAATGTATTTAGGATTTTTAAATATATTTCTTTGACAAAAAATGTCAAAAATTGTGGACGTTTTAATCTCTTATCACTTTTTAAAAGGCTGACTAGATTTGTTGTTGGGTTAGTTTTCTTCGTTGCTTCAAACTTAAATTTATTTTTTTGACCATTATTTCTTCATATCTTTGGTATTAAAAATATTGTGTGCTTAAATATCTTGCAAATATAAAATGAATGATTTCGCCAAAAAAAAAAAAAAAAAAAAAAAAAAAAAGAAGGAAAGAAAAATAAATAAATAAAAGTGACCAGAAATTTTTTAATAAGAAGTAAACAATAGTAAAAGGCAGCATTGTATAGGTTATCTTAAATAAGTCCTTAATTACAGTAGGTGTCTACGTATTAAAAAAAAGCAATGGAGAGTTTAAAATTTTGTATTTTTCTTACATGTGTTTTTACTCCCTTAATAGCAGTAGCCAGTGTTATCAACCAAATAATACTTGATTTCTTTGTTAGGAAGAAATTAGGTGGTTTGACTCTAGTTCATCTTTATGTTAGTGTACACCCCTTTTAAAATAATTATTCCTGTATCTTTTTAAGTTTTTATTCCAAAATCTAAAGCAATCAAAATTATAAGTTAAACAATATAATAACAGCATCTATAGCATAAATGAATAATTATTTGTGTCCTCTTGTGATAAAAAAAATAGTTGAAAGCAATAAATTAACATAAAATTTATCTTTAAAAATGGGATTGATTATTATTTTATTCCAGTAAATTATTATTGTTTTTAATGTAATTATATATTAAAAAAGAAACACAATATATATTAATGTGTCTACTTATATATTCACTGCATTTTTGAATATATATTGCTTTTTTCATCCAGTAAGGAAGAAATTGAAAGAATCCAAAGTCTGGCTACTGAAAATGGATTAGATGTAATTCCTTTGGTACAGTCTTTTGGACATTTAGAAGTAAAAATACTTTATTTGTGTCAATACAGTTGCAATTTATAAGATGAATTATTATTGTGTATTAAACTATATTCATAACATCAATATTCTTTTAGTTTCTTTTAAAACATGACAGATATTATGAAATACGGGAGAATGAGCGTTATCCTAACGCTTTATGCCCCTCTCATCCTAGTAAGTTATACTCTTTAATAAATTTTTATTTTAAACTTATTTTCTTTCACTTTATTAATCTGTAGTTTTTGGCCTTTTATCACAATTAAAAGGACAATTTAATTCTAAGCTGATTAACTTATAAATTTCATGGAATTTGAAATATAAGAAATTTATTTTAAAAACTGAAAATGTACAATAGATTCTTACAAGAACAAAATTTGTGAAGAGAGAAACTTCCTCCCCAAGAATTATAAACTCAATTGAATATTCGTGATGTTATTTTGTCTTTCTGTGATGATATTCCTCTTTTCAAACATCTATATCTAAAGACAAAAAAATTATTTTTAAATTTTATTTTACTGTCTAATTTTTCTTTTATTTTCTAACAAATTTATTATGAGTTATTAAGCATCTATAAATTTCTAATAAATTTATAGATGTTTATATAACCAGATAAGCAATAGTTGGTGGCCTCTCTTCTATTTAAAAAGTGACATCTCTATTGTGAGTATAAAGAGAAAGACCTAAATTACTTTGTTTTTTTCTACATTACTTTGTTTATGGATTACTATGTTACCGATTTTTGAACTTACCCTTCACTTTCTCTTCTATAAAAAATAGCTCTTATCTAGTTTCTAATACAACTTCTGATCCCTCAAAAACTAAAAATTGTTTTTGACATTTATTCAATTATTTAGAAAAAATTTCTTGTTGCTTCTTTTTCTCCATTCTTTTTCATTTTGTGCAGTATACTTATTCTCATGTTTTTTATATCCAGTGAATAGACTTAGTTTTGTTTTTTATTACTATATTTATTATCTGCGGTCTTGCACAAACTCTTAGATAAAGTTAAGTTTGACAACTTTATTTTTTATTTATTTATTTATATTTTTTTAAGTTTTAAAAAAGTGTTGGATTATTTTTTCTCTCTTTGCTACTTTTGTCAGATTTCTAGAAAGTTAGTTTGGCGCAATAAGTGTAATGTGACAGACTTGGTTATATGCATAAAACAACTTATTTTTTTAATTGAATATTTGCAGAGATGCCAACTGCTCCGGACACACGCCAAAATAATTATTAAAAAAAAAAAAGGTAGATAATTACAAACTGAATTTTGCAAATATTTTACTATTTTTGCTTGCCTTTTAAAAGGTATAACTTGACATAACTACTATAAAGTGGTGAATTATATAAGCCTACAAATTATTTAGAAATAGTGGTGGGAAAAAATCTACTAAATTGAATTTATTAAACCAAGAATCACCATTGATAAACTACCACTTTAAAATATTCATTTGCTGTCCGGAGCAAGTTGGCATCTCTGTATTTGTACACATTCCCATGTTAGTAAATATTGAAATGAATTTTATTCTTCTAAGTTTTAGTAGTTTCATATTGTAAAAATTTAATTTCTTAAAACAAAAATAAATTAGTTTTATTAATACTATTATTTTATATTTACTCCAGAAAGTGAATCTGTTATTTTTGACATGATCAACCAAATACTTGACAGTCATTCCAGTTCAAAATTTATTCACATTGGTGCTGATGAAGTAAGATGATTTAAAAATATCTACTTTTTTATTTAAATTTCAGAAGTATCTAATAAATATTTTGAAAATAAAAACTTTTCATTTCCTAAATTCTTTTTACCTACATCGTAGAATGTTATAACTATGATCTATTGTTAGCTGCATTTTTTTGTTCTCAACTCAAGTTCATGACTATATTAAAATTCAAATAATAATAATTTTTTATTATATGTTTTTAATTTGATTATAAGAAATCTAGTCATGTATAATGAGTATCTTCCTCCCTTTTTCAATTACAATTATTCAATTTGCTTTTTTGTTGCAATTTTGTTTTTAAAAAAAACTTTTCACAGTTATTGTGACAGTGATGAAATTTATTCTCTTGATCCTTTTTTAACTTGGTATATTTTATGTCACTGTTGTAATCATTGCAGGCTGGAAATAATATAAGAAGAACATGGAGCAATATAGTGACAAACTGAACTTTTTATTGTGTCATTTTCACTCCAAACTGTTCCTCTGTTTTATTTACAAATAGGTTTTTTACGAGTTACCGAAATTTTCACTCTATAAAATTAAATTTACAGAAGCATCTTAATTACCTAAACGTAAATCATGATAATTTTCACCAATACTCTCTTCTGAGCAATTTCAAATTGTAGCTTATCATTATATTGTCCCAGGCGTTTCATAAATAAACTATTTTGCCATGAAAAATGTTAGAGTGCAGGCATAATCTTAATTAGAATTTGAATAAATTAAGTTGTGTTGTGAAGAGTTTTTTTTATTTTTATAAAATTTTAGTTTCAAATATTTTTTTATCTTTATATTTTTAATAACAGGTTTGGCATCTTGGCCAGTGTATTAATTGTAAAGAAAAAATGGTGTCTCAAAATTGGAAGAAAGAACATCTTTTTCTTGATCATGTTACTAGAATAGCACAGAAAATACGTGAAAAGAACCCTGACATTGGAATAATCATTTGGGATGATATGATGCGGGAAATAGATATTGATATTTTAAAAGGCAAGCTTTCGATTTTTCTCACTCTAGGCTATGTAATTGTCTCATAAACAATAATGAAAATTAAAAGGTATATTTTATTATTAGCATCTGATATTGGAAGTCTTGTAACTCCTATGGCTTGGCATTATTTACCAGTGGATGAATTTAAACTCAAAAGTGGTAATTATAATTTTGCTTTCATAGTGATGTATCTGTGCAAAACTTATTATCTATTATTATTTTTAAATCTGTGATGTGTTTAAATATATTGAATATTAAATCGTTTGTAGGATGTGATGAATTTTTCTATCTGTTTTGAATTTTTATTTATATATTTGTGAACTAAGTCTTTGTAAATCTAACTTACTTGTTATCTAAGTACACTGGGTTTTTGTGGGATTAAGGAAGATATGAGTCATCAGAAAATTTCAGTTCAACAATCTATCAAATAATCAATCTTAAATTTCCATGGGACAATAAGTGGGGGATGAGATCCAAAGTAAATAAGTCTATAATCTGTTATTATCATTTCATGCAAAAATTCTGATGCCACATGGTTGAATTTTATTAGATTTAATTAAAATATTAATTTGTACAAAATACTCTTTCAATTAAAACAATATTTTGTAATGATTTTTATAGTTTAATAATACTATTCTTTAGGCTAATAATACCTTATTGTTTTTAAAATTTAAATCATTTATATAAATTTATTTTAGTTTAGAGGTGCACAACCTTTTTGAGTGAAGCGCCACATACGCAGCAGATTGACCAATGAAGGGCAGCATGCTCAAGTATTTAGACAAAAATAAAAACAATGGGAATTAAATAAAAACAATGAAAAAACTCATTGATTTTTTTTCTCACATTAATACAAAAGTCCTTTTTAACATAAATTCTAACAATACATAACTTTGATGTTCGCAAAATTAAAATTTAAAGAAAAAATATTTTAGTGAATAAAATAAATGTAAGTTAAATATTTTAATTTAAATGAAGTTTAACGTGATTTGAATTAAAACAGAGCCCTTGCAACACAAAATAAGACCCAACATTTAGTAGGAAATATACTTAAGCTGATTTATAATAAATTAAGTATATTTCCTACTAAATGTTGTATTTTTTTAAAATAAATTTATTTTAGATAAATTTAAAGAAAGTTTAAAAATCTTTAACTTTTTTTTGTTCTTTTAAATATTTTTTTAACTGTAAAAAAAAACTGTAACAGAATCGAATTTCACGTGTTAAAATATCAGGATATTCAAAATCACAAGGAAAAATTTAGCAATAACTGCCAAAAAACTATTAAAAATGTTAAAGTCCACACTTTTGAGGCAAGGCAAGAAGGGATTATTTTAATGTGTGATTCATTACTTGCATGTCGTAATAGTAATGAAAAATGTCGCGATTTTTTAAATCACATGGAAGTGCTTAACAATAATAGTCGAAAAAAAGATTAAAAAATGCAACAAAAAAAAGCGATTGTATTTACAATGAAATAGGCACAAGTAAAGCTCATCAAAATGTGATGAATTTAAATGAAAGAGTTGAAATTCTAAAGTTTTAATAATGTATTAAAAATATCAGGACTTTCAAAGCCATGTAGAAAGTTTAGCCATAATATCCAAAATAATCATTGAAAAATAATTTGAATTCGTAATAAAATCTGTACAAATAGAGCATATCAAAAAGTGCTTATCTAAATGAACGATTCGATACTCGTGATAATAATAATATAGTACAAAAAATATAAAAGTTTTAAAGCCAAGTGGAAATGTAATAACTACCAAAAAAAAAGGATCAAAAGTCAATTGGAATTGCAATGAAGTTTATACAAATGAAGGACATAAAAATTTGTTTATTTAAAGGTATCATTCAAATCTTTAAAGAGGTTAAAGCATATTTAAAAAAATCGCAATTTTAGAAACTACTTGGAAATGCGAAGCAATAGCTGAAAAAAAGATAGAAAAGTTATTGGCATTACAATGAAATCCGCACACGAAGAGAGTCAAAAGTGGTAACTAAAATTCAAAATCTGCATACCATAATAATGTTGCATTAAAAATATTAAGACTTGCATTAAAAATATTGGGATATTTAATTGTAAATCCATAGCGTTATCCACTGGAAAATTCAAATCTTTAAGGACGTTAAAGCATGTTTAAAAAAATTGCAATTTTAGAAACTGCTTGGAAATGCATAGCAATAGCTGAAAAAAAGATAGAAAAGTTATTAGCATTACAATGAAATCAGCACACGAAGAGAGTCAAAAGTGGTAACCAAAATTCGAAATCTGCGTACCATAATAATGTTGCATTAAATATATTAGGATTTTTGGGATTTGTGTTAAAAATATTGGGATATTTCATTGTAAATCCGTAGCGTTATCCACTGGAAAAAACTATAGAAAAAATACATTGATTAAGATTGGGTGTGTCCAAATCTTAAATGTGCAATTTCAAATTCCAACTTTTTTTCTTTTTCAAAAAATAAATAAAAAATTGAAATATTTTTATTTTGTTCAGATACTGCCGCGGGCCACACAACAAAAGTTGGCGGGTTTCAGGTTGTGCCCCCCTATTTTAGTTTTTTATTGCCAGTTGATGACAGGTGTATGACTGATAAGTTATTTTTAATGTATTAATAATCTGCATTTTATTTTCTATTCATAATCTATATTTTATTTTCTATTAATAATCTATATTATATTGAGTTTTAAATTTTACAGTTCATGTTCCAAATAGTTCTTTTATTTATAACTACATACTTGTGTATAATAAATTTTACATATTTAAACCTTGATCAAGGGAAACTTTGTTTCTTACAATATGTAATAATCAGTGTATATTTTTATCAAAAAGTATATGTATTGGTTATTGGATGAAAACTATATTTCTGACAAAATATTGCCAGGTATAGTAAAAACAGGATCTTTCCTGGAAAAATTCGAATTGAAGGAGAATCCTCATGCAGTAAAAACTGACACAAACTTATTCTTTTTCTTAGCTCTTTGGGAAAAATACTCTAAAGTATTTCCAAATATTTGGATTGCAAGTGCTTTCAAAGGTGCAACCGAAATGACACAGATAATTACTCCTACCAGATATCATGTTGCTAACCAGCAGGCGTGGCTTAAAATGCTGGGAGACTTTGGACATCTGTTTAAGAAGATCAATGGTGTAGCAATCACAGGTTGGCAAAGGTAATTTTCATAGTAATCCATTTAACTTAATCCATTAATTATTGACTTTTTTCTTACTTCAATAAGTCATAGTTTTCAAAAACTTTTAGATATGTATTAGGACAAAAATTTCGACTGGACAAGTTAATATGGTTAAATTTTAAATATGGTTACAAATGCACTTTTGAACAATATTTCATAGGTGAAAAATGCATTAAAAATAATTTGTAGGTTCAGGGCTGCTACCTTTGATAAATTGGATAGTCAAGATAACTGCGAAAAACCACATGTTCTGACTCCAAAGTAAACCACACTAGAAGACTAAAATTTCACAATAAAAGTAAATATGTAATTTTCAAACAAGAAAATTATGATTAATAAATTTGTTGTATACTTTAAAAAGAATGTTTCACAGATTATAAATGACCATAAAAGACAGCAATTTAGGATTTAGGATAAGAATTTTAGAGGTTTTTGTCACTTTTCCTTCATACAAAGAGGATTTAAGGTGTTATACATATATTTTGTGGTAACATCAAAGGAAATATTGGTTTGAATAACTTCTTTAAAATTTTCTAAATCAAATAACTAATTTGGTTTGCTGTATTGAAATAAACGATATGGTACAGTCATTAAAATAATGTTACGTCTAATGGAATAGAAAATGAGGATTTATGTGTTGGTTGTAATAGTGGAAGACTTGCAGTAATGAGGATCGTAATAAGGAACATAGACTGTATATGTATGCATCAAGGCTTGAAAAACCCTCGCTTTTTACATGTTGGAACATCTTATTTGATTGCATGTTAATGAAAACATATGAAAATACCTATTATTAATCTGTCACTCAAAATTAGCATCAATTCTTTTATTTTAAATATAACATTAGTAATAAATAAAAGAAAAGCAAAGATGTGTGAGGCATTATTCACAACGAAGTATTTGTAGAGTAAATGTGGAGCATTATGATTAACTAAAAAGTAATATTATTGAAATTGCTAAGTACTGTTTGCAAGTGTGAGCTCTTTGCATGTTAATTTTAAACAATGTTATAAAACTTTACTCTCCGGCCTTGACCCTATTTCCATCGCAATAGATGCCTTTTGTGAGGCCTTTTTTAATAATTCTTATAAATTTGTTATTAATTCTCGATCATGAATTTCTTATTTATTTATATAATAGAATTCATAAACATTTTAGTCTTATCAAATATAGTTGACTTTATTGTTTCTTCTCCCTTTTGGTGATGTTTATTTGCCCTGTCTTGGCGACTTTTGTCAAAACTTTTAATGATGCTATTCGTTAAATTTACAGTATTTTGATTTCGAATTGAATATTTTCATGGGTGGTCAGGCATGTAAGGGTAAAAAATGCATGTTTGCTAATTATATATAAAGTTTTATTGTTTATTAATGTTAAACCTCTAAGTAAAATATCATCTTTATTTATTTTAGATTTGATCACTATACAGTTCTGTGTGAATTATTTCCGGTAGCTCTGCCTACTTTAGCTGTTTGTTTGTTAACATTGACTGAAGGTGATTTTTATTCATTTGCATGGTTTATTTAATTGAAAAATGAACTATAGATATTTAAAATATGATCATAAGTATAAGCAAAAAGAAAGTATTTTTAAAAATTTATTTTTATAAAAGATAAGTCAATGCAGAGAAAAAAAGGTTTTGATATATTTTTATTATTATATTATATTTTCAAATTCGTTCCTTATTTAAAATTTCCAGATTGTTTTATGTCTTAAAATTAAAGTTAAAGACTTAAAACTGCAATACTATATTGCAGTACAAATGAAGAAAATGACATTAAGTATCCAAAAGTTAACCACTTTTCATTGTGTTTCTTTTCAGGTGAGTTTAATGAAAAGGCTCTCAAAACAGCATCTTCACTTCTTGGATTTCAAAATTTAATTGAAATGGACACTTTTCCTCGGTAAAATTCTTTTTTTATTTAAAAAATATTCTTGCTTTTATGTTGTTTTTTTTATTATGACCTAATTAAAAAGTTGTAAATTTATTCTGCATACTAGGGGTTTATTATGCCTTCTCGTTATCTCTCAATTAATTCCAAAACAATTTTTGAACTGCTTTGTGAATCTTGTACACTTCACTCAATCACCAGATACTAAAACATAACAATCTAGTATTGTTTAAATACTAAGTTTATACATAGAATTTGTACTCAGAACCTAATATGTCATAAGTTATTGAAAGAAGTTATGCACCAGATTGTTATGGCAAAAATTACTTTTTTTTTTTTTTTTTTTTTTTTTTTTTTTTTTTTTTTTTTTTTTTTTTTTTTTTTT